TTTACCAAGAATTATAATTATTTGAAATAAAAAATATGGTAAGGTGGCAAATATTGAATGGTAAGAGAAATTAACTATTTTATATAGTCAATACAATTGGAATATTTGGCAAATATATGTACATGTAACTATATTCCCAAAAGGTGCTTTACCATATATATAGAGTAATAAGATGGTGACTATAAATCTGTGTTCATTCTACTATATCTTCATGTTTAGATGAACTATAAATATATGTTTGAGGACAAAACGAACTATAAAATATAGTGAGATTATAGTTATTCCAACTATTTTTTTCTCTCAGTGTACATTCTCTTTACTTAAATCAAATATTGTTTACTTAAATCAAGTAAACAATATTTGATTTAAGTAAAGAGAATGTAGATTTAAGTAAATATGTTAATGGAACCCACCAAGGAAATATTTGTTGATTTTAAGATAATTTTTCTCTCAGTATACGTGTGGAGTAGTCGACAGTATCATTACTCTCATTGTTCCCTGTTGACAATGTGACAGAAAAAGAACGAAAGAAAAGAATCGGTGAATTTTTCAAATCGCCCCAAAGCGATTAACTATGTAATTCGATTTGCGGCCAGTCTGTCGGGCGTCACAGCGGCTAGAGCTTAATCGACAGTCAACACTTGCAATAATCGAGGAGGCCGACGCACCGAAAGTGGGTCGACCCATTTCATCCGCAGGTACGACCACAGGAATCCCCGTCGCGCTCCTTTGTACAAGCGCATTGCAAACAAAGACGTTAGACTCTTCTACCAAGACAAACAGTCGTCATCGATGTTGATCAGCTGGTCGTCCATAAAGACACTTTGTGTCGATGCGACTCGTTATCTGTTCGTTCCGTTTCTCTTTTTTCGGGTTCGCGTCGCCTGGAAGAAGTGGAGCGAGAAATCTCAGGATTTTGCTATCGGAGCGTTGACACGCGCTAAATTCCCTCGTGGACGATACTGATCGATGAACGTGACCCACAAATGAAATGGAACGAGGAATCGACGTCCCTTTGCACTTCCATCGGAGCATCGGAGTCAACAACGCTACAAGAGAGAGAGAGAGAGATGGATAAAAAGAAGGGGAGAAGAAGAGAGAGAGAGAAACGAGAGACAGAGAGAAGCTTGACTTGACTGAAAAGAGCGAACTGAAAGAGAGAAGCTACTTGACACCCCTTTAACACCGTGTGCAAGTTTATTTTTCATGCGTTACCGTCTCTTCAGATCGATACACGTCCAATAATTCTTTTCCTTTTTTCGCCAATCTTTTTCCACGAAAAGAAACTTGAGAACAGCGGTGAATTAAGGTAATTTTCAATTCATACATTAACATACATTAACAAAACATGCACCAGACGAAATCTTTTCAATTTCGGAATGGACGTTAAACTTGTAACGCTTGAAAAATCGAGCGTGACACGAAAGAAACGGCTGCAATACTATGTCGCAAAGTGGATATTTATACGTGGTCCACAGTTTGCTTCTTTGAAAGAAGAAGTGAAAAAAAGGAGGAGAAATGCCGAAACTTCCGGAGCACCGCCACCTGGCACGTGTTCTGACACGCGTATTTTTATATCCCCGCTTGTTTTCTTAAGGGTTTCCGACCCTACCCGCGACTTATCTCGCTCAGCCCATCTCGACAAATATACCACGAGATAATTTCTATCAGGAATAACGCGCGACAAGGGCTGCTTTGAGGTTTCCTTCCACGTCGCACGATTCAACTGCCAGTTGAGGTAGCGACAGTCTGAAAATTCAGTACAAGCCCGTCGAGTGAAATTAAACGGAAATGCCGATGCCCGCATCTACTCTCACCTCGAAGCATCGCGATCGTAAAATCGCAATTTTTCGATAGACATTCTTCAGCGAAGACAACAATCCTATCAATCTCCCTCTTTCAGAGTATCGAGCGGGAAGAAAAATTACACGAATATAACGCCGATCGGAATTGCCACGATTTTCACGAAATCGCCGACAGAAAGAACGCAATTAAACTGCATCCATGTGGATTTTGGACGAGCTACTGCCGATGAAGCTTGCAATATTGTTTACGCGTCGCTATCCCACACAAAGAGGATGTTATGATTTCAAATCGGTTTTTTTCAATTTTTTATGCTTTTAGCAGATCAGGAATAAATTGTGAATAAGATCTATCTTACTAAGGAACATAGTAAATTTCGTTACAAACATAGCAAGTATTTTAATATCACGTTCCATTTCTTAAGATATAAATAGCGCATATGAAATGAAAGGATGGTGAATTGTTGCGGAATATCGACTTCGGTTTCACGGTTACAAAATTCCATCAGTAAGTAAAGAAAATTACGTTTGTAAAGACCGAAAAATAATTCGGCGTCTGACTTGTACTCAACAATACGGAATCTTCCCGTATATAATTCTAATTGACAATCGTACCTGAGAATCGCGATGTGGCTTTGATTGGCCGTAATTTTCCTTGTTCGAAATGGTATCTACACAAAGCCTTGAAATACATTCATATTTCCTATTAGTAACCTTTACTAAAATTCTCCCCATTGCAGAGCGTGATTCATTGATTTCCATTTGGGACTCCACGAGATCCACGCTCATTAATCTCTCCCGCGCGCACAGGCTGCGTCGAAAAGGCCGTTTTATCGCGGATACGATGTTATCCCTTTTTGCCCCTCGCACCGTGCCATTGCAGACGACGAGGGTATTTTGCCCGTTTGTAACGAGCTGACTGGCGCATCGGAGCGCGCCTCGCTGCCTCGAGGGAGGTCTGACGCAAAACTGGGTTGCGCTACTTCGGCGCCGAGGGACTAACAGCCGCGACATAGCCTAGCACGCACTCCTCGGCTGCGTTAATGATCTTCTCCTATGAGCGATCGCTCATTCGCGAGGACACTCGCTGTGACACGCGACTCGCATGATTCCGTCCCGTTCTTTCGCGAGGGTGAAGTAGGAAGTGCTCCTAACGCTTTGCGAGCCATGTGGAGTTGAATTTATCTTAGAGATTCTAAACCTCTCTGCTATATACATGGTGTCCCAGACTCTCCTTTTCACATTAAGTGGGAATGTAGAACGGGTTGAGGTGAACATAAAAGTCCTGTACCGTTTTGCGATATTTGCAGTAATAGTCGAGATATTAATTAAAAAAGATCGGTGAATGATCAGGTATGGTAAATGAGCTGCAGTGGCGCCATCTGCCGTTGTACACTCATACATTAAATCAAACTGAACAAAAAAATCCTTTACCATTTTGTAAATAACCACACAGATTTTTAGATATTAATTAAAGAAAATTTGTGCATTATGGTACACAATCATATATGTAACAATTTTCTTTAATATCCAAAAATCTATGTGGTCATTTGCAAAATGGTAGAGGACTTTTTTGTTCAGTTTGATTTAATGTATAAATGTACAACGGCAGACGGCGCACTGCAGCTCATCTACCATATTTCGCGTGATCATTCACCAATCTTTGTTAATTAATATCTCGATTATTATTGCGAATATCGCAAAACGGTACAGGACTTTTGTGTTCACCTCAACCCGTTCTACATCCCCATTTAATGTGAGAAGGAGAGTCTGGAACACCCTGTATATATTATATTTTTTTTAAATATGGACCTGTCCTTATTACAGAAACGATGAAAAAGCATTTTAAAGTACATTTTTATTCAAATGATATATTTGTAGATGGATAATGTTCAGAGTGCAAACCCCACATGGTTTGGGACATTCACCTAGTTTGCGGAAGGTTAATGCGGTTATTGCATTTGCGAGCTCGACGGAGAAAAAGCTTGACAGCCGTTCTCTCGGTATTAAATTCTAGAATTTGCATTTGCACACAGGACGAAAATTAGTTTTTATTTAAAACTAATAAAATAAAGTAAAGAATTAAAGGCTGATAAAAGTAAATTGGCAGAGGGCAACCGAAATTTTATTGGTTTTTCCCTATGAATTTCTTCAGGCAAAATTCCCCGCGGAAAATGACAAATCGAGGTAGTTGCTGGCGCGAGGAGATGCACTTTTTCAGAGTGCCACGTAAAAAAAGTCAATCATCGCGCGCAGAAGGACGCACAGGGAGGCAGTTCTCGCGCACACGTTTGCACACACGTGTATACTAGGTGTGCACCACGTCGTCCCAGAGGAAAAGGCGAACAAACGAACCAAGGGGGCGGCCGATGAAACTCGTCGGCTGCGTGCCTGTCGAGCGTCGTCGCGATTAATCGGGTTACCGGGGCACCCGGGATACACCCCCGTCCACATTTTTGAGGGCTCCCTGCGGATTATCGCGACGTTATCGCGCACGCAGGCCCTCATATTATATATCAAGTCTACCCTTTGCCCGCCGAAAGCGGGACGTAAAAAAATGTACGACTTTTCCCATCTGACCCGCGTCCTCTGTTTCGCATTTGTCGTCGCGCCGGCGATGCGGCGATTTTATCGTCGTAAAATAGCGAAGCATTAATTCTGCATGCGCGGTTTCGTATTAAATTGCACGCTATCGGATTATGCATAATTATACGTATACGATTGTTGGTCGCGTATAATGGACACACAAATTATGGGATCGTTCGCGAGCAGCCCTTCGGTACTCGGCATTCAGTAGCTGTCTAGCGACAACGCGATCAGGTCTCGCGCTCGTTCGCACCGAAGAGGCGATTCACTGGCACATTCTTCGGGGAAGAGGTGCCTTTTGGAACGCGTTTCACCGTGGACGCGTCCACCGAGTATCTCTCTGTATATTTCTTTTTTCTGTTCTCTCACTCTTCTCTTTCTGCGGCGAATAGATCGCGTTCGCCTCTCGTTTTTCGCGCACAGCAAGAATGCCGTTGTCCGATTCGAGCCTGACGGGGGCTTTTAAGAACGAGTCCATTATCACGGTGGCGGGCGGCACCACCATCTCGTTAACGGCCGGAACCCGTTTCGCGAAGAGAGAAAGAGAGAGGGAGAGGGTAGGGGGGAAAGAGAAAAAAAGAAAGGAATTCTCATTCTTTCGTCTTCTTCCAGGAGTACGTGAATCGATACCACGGACAGAAGATGGGCGCCCTGGAGCCTCACGTGTTCGCGTTGGCGGAGGCGGCGTACTGGTCCCTGCAGGACACAGAGAGCAATCAGTCCTGCGTGATATCGGGCGAGAGCGGAGCCGGCAAGACGGAGACCACCAAGTTCATTCTGCAATACCTTTGCTCGGTGACCAGCAACGTCGACACATGGGTGGAGCAGCAGATCCTCGAGGCCAACACCATCCTCGAGGCGTTCGGTAATTGAGTTTATCAACCGCCCGCTGATAAGAGCCACTGATAACCCGATCATCGCGTTTGTTCGCGCCGCTTTGCCGAAATCTCGTCTCGTTCAGTGAGATTAGTCGTTATCGCGCGGACCTCCGGTGTGAAGAGCGCAATGCTGCTTTGTGTCGAGCAGCCTAACAATGAGAGTCGCGAATGGACGCTAATTAGATGACGTGAGGACGCGCGCGTCGTGGGCGAAGAGATACGAAGAGCGCGCGATTCACTCACAGAGTTTCATATTTTTCTCGCGGGAAATTTACATTATTAGAGAAATTTTGCCAACTTATCTAATTCTTGTCGACTTCATCACAAAACTATTTGAAAAGTGTTCTTTATCGTGTGCAATTTCGAAGTTCATTGCGCGAACATTCGGCACCGGAGAAATCAAAAATTATCGCGCACTAAGAAAGAAAAAAATAATTGATCTAGCTAAATTTATAGTTATTTTTGCCCTTTTATCGTACTTCTAGGTTGTTGTAACACGAAAATAGTAATAACATGCATACAATATTATTATCACTAACATAGTAGAATTTATTAAAACAATAGTCTTCTCGACCATAATTATTTCTCTATGTGATTACAAATATCAAATTTTTTTTTCTCAGTGCGAGGATTTTTTGTTACACAGAATTAGCTGTATTTCTTGGTCGACGAATTGTAGACACGAAGGAGGAGCAGTCGGGAGACACTCGGAATATCTCGTACACTGAGAGAAAAAAATAGTTGGAATAACTATAATCTCACTATATTTTATAGTTCGTTTTGGCCTCAAACATATATTTATAGTTCATCTAAACATGAAGATATAGTAGAATAAACACAGATTTATAGTCACCATCTTATTACTCTATATAAATTGGTAAAGCACTTTTTGGGAATATAGTTACATGTACCTATATTTGCCAAATATTCCAATTGTATTGACTATATAAAATAGTTAATTTCTCTTACCATTCAATATTTGCTACCTTACTATATTTTTTATTTCAAATAATTATAATTCTTGGTAAAAATTTTACACGGGTCAGTTATACTATGCTAATATTGTAAATATTATGGTAAAATTTACTATAAAAATTATATTCCTAACTATAATCTTTTTACTATGCCATTATAGTTCCAAATATCATATATTTTTCTCTCAGTGTAGCGAATAATAGGATTTGATTTCATTCCGTCGCGGTAATCGGTAATAGAGAAGAGAATCAACACAGTATCGAATTAGAAAGAGGAGCGCGGTCGTCGCAACGGTAATAAAAAATAGATTTCAACCAACATCGCGGAAGGTGCGGATTCATCAGCGGATTTAAAGCTTGACGCAACAACTCAGGTGTTAAATGCGCCGACGAGGGGACGGCGATGAAATGGGTCACGAGGGAACGAGGTTATATATGAATAAAACACCTCCGCCGACGTCGTTCATTCATCTACATAAAATAACCACACGTGACCTTTCCGTCGCAGTGTTATTTTGGACGCGACACTCGGTCTTAGCAGCTTGTCTCCGACCGTCCATCTCGTATACCTTAAACTCGAACGAATCGAGTGAAATCCGACCTCCCGGTGTCTCGTGTTTCTAGCAAACTGATATTTCTTTTCTTGGACGTGTCGTGAAGGCATTAGAAGGATACGTCACGGCTGAAAACGTTACAACCAGACTTCTGTCAGCACGACATTGTTCTTGACGAGAGCACTTTTAGTCGCTATCGGAAGAAGATTTTCCGGACGCGGCGCGCGAACTTCTTCCTCGCGATTCGAGCCGCGATTGGCAGGTGGTGGTGGCGGTAGTGTTGATTAACGATAGAAACTCGATTTGCGAAAACAGGCAACGCGAAGACCGTGAGGAACGACAACAGCTCGCGATTCGGCAAGTTCATGCAGGTATGCTTCGACAGCAAATGGATGATCAAGGGATGCATCATCCAGGACTACCTGCTGGAGCAGAGTCGCATCACCTTTCAGAGCCCCGGTGAGCGCAATTACCACGTGTTCTATCAGCTGGTCGAGGCGGGCACGAGGGACAAGGAATTCGCCGAGCAATATAAGCTGCAACCGGCCAGCCACTACAAATATCTCAATCAGTCCGGCTGCGTGAAGATCGATGGAATTTCTGATTCTAAGAAACTCGACGCTCTCAGGCTCGCCTTTAATGTGCTCCAAGTAAGGATCGATATCGGTGGTTCTTGAGAAGAGAAATTTACGGCATTCTATACTCATTTCTGTCGCGTTATTACGGAGTAATTATATATAGCGTGTGTATGTGCTTGTGTGTGTACGTGTAGGTCGCACCGGAGATGTGCGAGGGTATCTTCCGGGTTCTGTCGGCCATCCTGTGGCTAGGGAACCTGAGCTTTGAGGACGTCGACGGGGAGAGATGCGAGTTGTCAATGGAAGACAACAATATAGTTGACACGGTGGCGCCATTGTTGGGCATGCAGGTGGAGGATCTTACTAAGGTGGTGTTGATACGACAGATAAACGTGCGCGGCAACATCACGGAGATTCCGTTGAAAGTGCAAGAAGCCAGAGAAAACAGGCACGCGATGGCGAAGGCACTTTACTCCCGTTCCTTTGCCTGGCTCATCAATCACATCAACAATTGCACGAATCCGGGCCAAGACAGCTCCCGATTTCTCGGGGTGCTCGACATCTTCGGTTTTGAGAACTTCACGTTGAATAGCTTCGAGCAACTCTGCATCAATTACACGAACGAGAAGCTGCACAAATTCTTCAATCACTATGTCTTCGCATTGGAGCAGGAACTCGTAAGTTATACTTTCGAAATTTCTTGGAATAAAATCTCATTTAGAACGAATCAAAATGCACATGAATTTAATTAAAACTTAGAGTACATTCTTAATCTACAATTTAGAATAGAAAACTCACTACAAGTAAAAAATTCGCTACACAGAAAAATATCATTCTACTAGTAAAAAAATCAGTCACTTAGTTTATTTTCTTTTAAATTATGGTTCTCTTAAACAAAGAATATCTTCTGGATAATAGTCTCAAAATACTTATCATAAATTTTAGTAAAACTCATTATTGTATATTCAAAGGACAAATTTATTCTCTATGCAAGACTATTATAAAACTCAAAGAAAAAGATAAGTCAACTCTATGTAGACAGATCGAAATTTTGTTTTAATTTCATATTTTTAATTGAAATATTAAGCTTATTAAACTTAATTCAAAATATATTTTGAACAAATTTTATATTTTATGATGGATCTACTTATGGTAGATTTACGGACATATAAACTTATAAAATGTTTGAAATGTTTTTTTGAATGTAGTATTTTCCTGTGTGTAGAATTCGAGCAACGCGACAGTCACTTTACTTTCCGAGCGGAATTTCACTCAAAGAAATTTCGGGAGCACGTTCCGTTTGATCGAACAAGCGACCGACGTTATCGATAACGGGAGAGACACGCCAGACGATAAATTTGTTTACAGTATCGCCAAGAGGAGATCCAATATTCTCACATCACATTCACGGACAACACCATGTGCCTAGAGTTAATCGAGAAGCCTCCGCGGTGTGTTCTTAAATTACTGACCGAGCAGTGCCATATGCCGAAGGGCTCCGATCTGGCTTACCTGACAAACCTGCACGCGGAATTCGAGAACCACCCGTGCTACGTGAAGGGAGACGATCGGCGGAAGTGGGAGAAAGAGTTCGGGGTCAAGCATTATGCCGGCTGCGTAACGTATACCGTCGAAGGTTTCGTCGACAAGAACAGAGACGTGCAGCAAGACGTCTTCTTCGACTTCATGTCCAGGAGCACCAACGAATTCGTGCAGGAGATCACCGTTTATCAGGATCTACTGGGATGTACTGTTGGGCGCGCGACCGGCGGCGCTACCGCGACCACAATGTCTCGTGGCACTTCCAAAGGCAAACCGACTTTGTGTGACTCGTTTCGACACCAATTGCAGGCTCTGGTAGACGTGCTGCAGGCGACAACGCCATGGTATGCGCGTTGCATTAAGCCAAACATGGAGAAGATGGCCAACCACTACGACGAAAAGCTGGTTTTGGATCAGCTCAAGTACCTCGGCATGTTGGATATCATTCGCATACGTAAGGAAGGCTTTCCAATACACATGTCGTTCCACGATTTCGTCGCGCGATACCGTTGCTTGGACAAGGATCGATTTTCGCTCACCTGCAACGAGAAAGAGGCGGTCAAACGCTTGATCAGCAGCCAAGGTATACCGGAGACTGAGTGGCAGATTGGCCGAACTAAAGTGTTTCTGAGGAGCTACGTGCACGAGCCTCTCGAGGACTCCAGGAATAAAATGGTGACGAGCAATGCGATTGTAATACAAAAGATCTGGAGAGGATATGTGAAACGACGAGGTACATTTTATATCTTTTTTTCCATGAATTTGCTTTATGCTTTTTGGATTGCACATCTCTCACTGTGTTATCGTATTCTCGACAGAGTACAAGCGTATTAGAGAGGCGGCATTAAAGGTGCAGCACGCTTATCGAGGCTGGAAATTGCGAATAATGTTCATCAGAAAGCGTAGAGCCGCCATCGTGATTCAGAGTCACCTACGGGGTGTATTCGCGAGGGAGGTGGCCGCGGCCCTGCGTGAAATGAGGCGAGTCGACGAGGAAATGAGAAAGAGGGAGCGGCTGGAGGAAGAACGAAGACTGATGGAGGACAAGAAGGCTCTGGAGGAGAGTCAGAGGTAAGGGAGGCCTAATCGGTCGGCCGATTTGATTTTCTTTAAGCGCTTCCACTTAGCCGACCCCGTTCTACGGCGTTCGTGTAAGATAACCGGGCGGAACGATTAATTATGCGTGCGATCAATTGTGCGTTAATGTGATTTCCGTTTGTGTCCCTTGTAGCGCGCAGTACAATGGTATTGTCGGGATGGAATCCGGGTAAGTTTGACGGAAGCTCGTGTGACGGGCTGCACGAGGCATGCATTCGTTGCATGTTAAGTATCATCGCGTGTGTAGTACGCTTACGAGCGTTATCGCTTCCTAGTCTGGCACACACAGCCATGGATATATGTGTACATGTAAGAGTTGCCCGAGACCTATACCTTTATCTCTATGGATCTCATTAAATTCCTTTGACATTTTGTGAAAAAAAATCTTGAAAACTCTAAATTACTTGTAGAAAGACAGGTGGAACGTGACTCACTAGGTCCGGGTGTTAACTTGCATATACATATATTAGAATCACAGCGTTAAACATAACTTATAACTATGACAGCGCACAGAAAAATATATACTATGTATAAGTAAATGTTACTTGTTTTAAGTTTTGTATAAGTTTATATATCTGCAAGTATTATCACAAGTGTTTATCATAAACATCAAATTAACTTAAAATACATTCTAAATCCTAATGCATTTCAATCAAAAATATCAAATTATAACAAAAATTCAGCTTATTCATTATATAGAACTGACTTTTTCCTCAATAAAGCTTTATAATATTCTTGCAAAAAGAATAAATTCTTCTCTTGAAAAAATACATGATAAGTTTTTCTAAAATTTGTAATAAGTATATTGTGAGACTATTATCAAGGAAATATTCTTTGTTAAAAACGACTATCACTTAAAAAGAAAGTAAAAAGCAAAGCGAGTCATTGCTTTTCTTAGCGGTAGAATGATGCATAAATCGCAACAGCGCGTTAGACGAAACTCACTTTAATCATTGCACCTGCACTCGGAAAAAGAACGAAAATTTGAACGGAGGTTTGCAATAATTTTCTCTCAAAATTACAGGAAGGCGCAGGAAGAGATCGCCGCATTGTCGCAGATGGCCGAGCAGATGAATTCGAAGATGGCTGCCACAGATTTGCAATCGGTGGATCTTGACAATTTGTTCTCCTTCTTGTCGGACGTGCAATCGACTAAGAGCAATCAGATTATCGATGAGATTGGCGAGCGGATGGACGAGCTAGTGGAGGATTTGGATGTGGAACTGGAGACTGTGATTCAACAAGAGATAGAATTAAACTCAAAGGCAGAGTCGAAGGTGACGTCTCCCAACGGACAGGAACCATCTCCGCAGCTGCAACAACAGCGACTACCTTGTACGAACAGCCTGAGCAGCAGCAAGCTCGGTCAACCTAGCTTGCCAGAACCGACCGAGCCTCCGCCACCACCGCCACCCCCGGCACCGCCGTTGATGAACGGCGGTGACTCGTCAAGCGATAACGGCGAGCCGATCTACGAGTCAGTGTTGCCGCGCGACGAGAACGACCCTGGCAGTCCGGTCGCCCGCAACGGCAGCGCGGGACAATTAGTGAATGGCGAGTCCTGCAGCTCGCCACCACCCGTGCCGGGTGGCAAAATGAACAAGGAGCAACTTGCCGGCAGTCCTCCATCCAGGCCGGAGTCCCGAAGTTCCAACGGTCATCATCATACGCATCATCACCATCATCAGACAGTGCCGCAGGCGCAGCAGAACGGTCACGATCAGCCACAGTCGCAGCAGTCGCAAGCGCAGCAACAGCAACCGGTCGAGCAGCGCGAGCAACGGCGCAAGTGCCGAGTGGAACGCAAGCTTCAGGAGCTGGAGGACAAGAAAGAGCAAGACACCGAAGCGACAAACTATCATGACATTATGGAGTTCGCGCAGAATTACTTCAATAGTCATGAACGCTCGCCGGAAGGCACGATAATGGCCACGCTGACGAGAAAGTCGCGCGGCAAAAGCGTGGAATATATCCCGAAGTATGAGATGGTTACGTACTACAAAGGGTCCAGCATTCCCAACTCCCACATTCATATGTACGATCCGGACAACGTGAATGTCGCGTGTTCCGTTTTCAGGGTAAGCGATACGGATATTGATTTCAGAATATAATTACGTGAGACTTCTGCAAGAATTTCTAGATAGAGGCTAACGTACAAAATAGGAAGGAAAATAGATAAAGGTCAAACGACATGTATTGACCTTTATTTATTTTCTTTCAATTTTATAATTATCCAAGTTAATTATCGAAGTTCCCACGAGCTTATATATATATATATATATATATTTTTTTTTTACAATGGAGCTTTCAGTCTTCATTTACATTTCACGTATTATCTCGCTGTTCAGGATTTGTGCAAGTACATACGCGGCGAGATGAAGTTGGATCAGGAAATCCAGACAATCCAAAGCATCATTGCGTACGGAATCGAGCGGGAGGAGCTGCGCGATGAGATCTTCGTGCAGTGCATACGCCAAGCGACCAACAATCCCAACGCGGAATGGGCGGAACGCGTGTGGTTGCTTTTGTGCTTGGCGATCGTGGCGTTCCAGCCTAGCAAGCTGCTCTACAAATACTTTGTCTCCTTCCTGAAGAAGAATATCGCGCTCGAAGGCAAATTGCGACAGTATGTGCAATGGTGCGTGGACAATTGCAAGAATACGAAGGTTTCCTGCAGGCAACATCCGCCGTCGACGGTGGAGATCGCCGCCATGAGGCGACTTGGTACCATAGTCTGTCGGTTCTTCTTCTTGGATGGTAGAACGAAGGCGATCGACGTCCATCCGACCGACACGGCCGCCGACGCGGTCGCAAAACTCGGCGAGAAATTAGGCCTTCGATCGTTGGAGGGTTGGGCCATCTATCAGAGCAGACCGGACGGAGAGGAGCATGTACGAGCTCACGATTACTTGTACGACGTGATTGCCGCGTGGGAAATGTAAGTTTGTCGTTTTCATATCTCGTACGCGATTTAGAGAATATGTCAGCTTTTTCGTTCCGTGACGAGAGCTTGTCGCACAGTGACTCTTTTTTCGTTACAGGAAGCAGTGCAAATTGAACACAGCGCAGTCGACGTTCTCGACGTTGCGACGCGGTAACAACACTACTCTAGGCAGCGGCGACAATCGTTTCGTGTTCAAACGAAGATTATTCCGCAATCCGCGGGAGATCTCGCAGGATCCTGTGGAAGTTAATATGCTGTACGCGCAGGCGGTTTATAATGTCGTGAAGGTACAAGATGCTTTACTAAAATAATATAAAAATATATTAATCTTATATAATATATAGATCTCTCTTTTACATATGAATATACTAGTCTCTCTGTTTCATTTGAAAACTTTGACTTTCGATCTCATTGTTGTGTCTTGTTTTTCAGTGCGACGACTTCCCAGTGTCCGAAAAAGTGGCACTACAATTAGCCGGTCTGCAGGCGCAGGTGTCTCTGGGTGATCCCAAGGACAACGACAGACTTGATTATTACAGCGAAGTGGACAGTTTCCTGCCTTACAGAATCAGTCGGGCTCGCGGCGATGATGTCTGGGTGCCGATCATAGCTCAAGCACATCGACAATACGGCGCCGGACGTAAAGAGTTGGCGGCCAAAGTTCTGTATCTATCCTGCGTGATGCAGTATCCTCTCTACGGTACAACCATGTTCAACGTTACCTATCGTGGATACTGGTCTTACGGTAACCAACTGATTCTGGGTATCAATTGCGACGGTCTCATGCTGATCAAGCCGGACGACAAGTTCGTCTTATCCGAGTACCGTTACCAGGACGTCGAGAGCATCATGCTGGACCCGAGTGACTCATTCATCACGCTCTCGCTGTTGCGGCACAATCCCGACAGCTCGCACAAATGCTTCGTCTTCGAGACTCCGCAGAAGAACGAGATAGGCAGTCTGATCGTCAGTTATTGCCCGGCCCTGGCGGGTTGGATCACGGAGAACGAGGTGCCAACGAAGAAGCTCAAAGGCATCACCAACGAAGATCGTATCAGGCTCTACCACAATCTAGTCAACTGTCGGCGAACGTTGGTGGACACGGAGATCTTGAGGAAACCCCAAGATTCCGGCGGCGGTTTCCTACGTAACACGCTCAGGCGACTGTCCAAACACAGGATAGAGAAGCTCAGACAAGAACATGGAAGCGCCGACCACGGGGAGACCTATAAAGGTTTCCCCTACGCTTACTGGGCGTTCAGCAGACAACAGATACCGCAGAGCTTGGCCAAACTGCCTGATCCGGACGAGCAGATGGCACTAAGTATTTTCCAGTTGATCCTAACGTACGCGGGACTCGGCCAAAACGGCGACACGGTGCGTCGAGTCGAGGACGAGCACGTGAATCTCATACAGACTGTGATGGAACGTTGCATACGCAAGGAGAATCTTCTGGGTGAGCTGTATCTTCAACTGATCAAGCAAACTACCGATCATCCGGATCCCAACAGCCGCGTCAATCTCAGACACTGGGCGTTGCTATCGCTTGCGTGTTCCGTCATCCTACCGCCGCAGAAGGCCATACGGAAGTATTTGATGGCTCATCTGAAGCGCTGCGCCAGTGACTACGTCACCGAGGAGGGCAAGTACGCGAGGTTCGCGGAGAAATGCTTATACAAGACGCAAGGCACGAGGCGGCGGCAGTGGCCGCCGAGTCGCGAGGAGATCATGTGCACCATCAATCGTCGACCGATTTATGCGAGATTCCACTTCATGGATGGCCAATATCATGCCGTCGAGTTTCATCCGTCCGCGACGGCCAGAGACGTTATGGAGATCATAAAGACCAAGATAGGACTTGAAGAGACTGCTATGGGTGCGTTGATTGTAATTTCCTACTGTGCACACTATTTATTTATAATATATATACTTATAATATAATTTATAATATAATAGTATTATAATATATTTATAATACTTATAATCTACACCATAAATTTTGCATAAATTATAAATTTTATTCTAAACTTGATTATATGAATTTAAATGGAATTTTTTTCAAAATTTGCTCAATTGTGTGAATTTATCGGTTGCTTCTGACGTTAGGTTATGCAATCTACGAAGTGCTTGGGCCGACTGAGCGTTCATTAATTCCCGAGGAAAAGATAGCCGATGTCATGTCCAAGTGGGAACGTTTCAGAACGTCGCAGCAGAATCAGCAGACGCAACGAAAGCATGCTCATCATTTCTTCCTATTTAAGAAACATTTGTTCTTGGACCAATACATGAATCTAGACGATCCCGTGGAGAAAGAGCTGCTGTATCATCAAGTGCTGCATGACTTGCGAGCCGATCGATTTCCCATCACCGAGAAAGAAGCTGTGAGTCTCCTCAAAGCAATCGCACTTTTATCGTAATTTTCGCTTCGTTATAGTAAATCGATATCAGCGATTTTCGAGGCAATTTTCGAGGTCTATGCCTATTTTCTTCTCCTTCCGCTTCCTCGTCGACTCGCTTTGTGACTAAGTATCAATTCGTTATGAAGTCGTATCAGTATGAAGTTAATTCGTCAAGTTCTAATCTTTAATTTACGACTTCCAGTATTTAGTCTGACACACAGGTATTACATTACATATTACGTTATCTGACGTTGATGCAATCGCTTATAGATGATGCTGACAGCTCTGCAAGCGCAGTTGGAAATGGGTGACTGTCTCGAGCAAGCCATAACGGAGCAAGATTACCGAACGATATCGAGTCACTGCCTACCATCAAGACTGGTGCCGAGCCTGTGCGTGGAAGGTGTGCTCCAGCATCATCAATCCCTACGCGGCATGACACCGCCTGAGGCGAAGAAGGCCTTCCTGAATCTTATTCAGTCGTGGCCGCTGCACCGCGCGACGATCTTCGACGTGATGCAGTCGTTCACTTCGAACTGGCCTCGTGTGCTATGGCTAGCCGTCGATCAGCTGGGTCTTCATCTCCTCGAACATCGCTCCAGAAACGCACTATGCACCTACGAATATAGCAGTATTCTAAGTTACACCCCCGCCGTTAATTGCTTGATGATTATCACTGGTACGGACAAGAAGCAGAGCAAGGTCATCCTCACGACGTCGCAGGTAAAACTGTTAATCGAAAACTGATATTTTCTTCTCGTGTATTATATCTTATTTTCTTATTACTTTTTATTTCGTTTCAAACGTCCGACTGGCGAGTGTCATCGAGACTGTTAGCTTATTCCGATCTCGTTTGTTTACCAGGCACATCAAATTGCGAATCTAATTCGCGAATACATGGAGGTGCTGCAGTCGCCGCCGGAGATACCGCGACGGGATTCGACGATGGCTCAACAGCTGGCTCAGCAGCAACAGCAACAGCAGCATCCGCAGCCGCCCGCCGCGACTGTCCTACCGACATCCGCCAGCGGACGCAAGTCCCGACCAGCTTCAGCGATGCTTCACAGAGGTGCTCCGGTAATACAATCGCAGGCTAGTTAGAATGCCGGTTAGAGGCGACTCGCGTTCAAAGAGACGACGACGACGATTTCCCTTCAACCTGGTACCTAAAGGTTCGAGTTCTCGTCGGGCGCGCACGTTTCATTGCCAAGTGCCATAAATCCCAGATACGCACAGCGCCACGCATGCGGTACTGTCTATTTTATCAAAAAAGAAAAAAAAGAAAAGAAATACGCGCGCGACTATATATGATATACATATATATATATATATATATATATATATATATATATATATATATATATATATATATATATATATATATATATATATATATATATATATATATATATATATATATATATATATATATATATATATATATATATATATTACTGTACACTAATTTTAATCTCCAACTCCGTCTTTATCCGTGCGACTCAAGTGCTCCCCTCTACATATAATTCTTTTAGCGATACGTACTTTGAGATTCGAGTGCGTGATAAAATGAGGTTTTAGTATCAGGTTGTGGTGAAAAAAAAGAAAAACGAAACGTCTGGCTCGTGTTTACGCGTGGTGCGTTTCTCACGCTAAACGCGGCTGCCTCCTGTTGTCAGCCTGACGGTTTCTAACGAAAAACGTGTTGATCCTCCGTAACGAGAGTGTCGTACGGAGGATGTCGGCTGCGTTCAGCGACTTAAACGCGCCGTTAGATAGGAGTATGAAGAATAACGGGACGAAAAGTCTTGAGTCAATGACGCTTTTTTCGGTCGGGCCTATCGACGAGACGATCGTCGTTTAAGGAATGGCACTAGCCCTAGGAATACATCTTTCTTCCACTATTTATTCAAGTTAGCTTAGATCTCGAAGTCGAGTCGAGTCAAAGACTAGATTAATCTCCGCGAATTAGCCGAGTTAGCGAGCAGCGAGTTGAGTGATAAATAACTGCCATTAGAAGTTATATTAAACCGCGACGGGGGGGAAAAAGAAAAGAATGCGCAAGAAGTTGCCGAGAACTTTTTCTATTTCTATTGTGACCGTTATCATTGTTGCTTTTTTTACGAGCGACCGCCATCGTTTTTGATAACCATTTTTGCAGCACGGGAAAGCAAAACGCGAGAACTATGTACACGACGATACTTAACGATTGAATGATCGATCATCCCGACTCTGCCATCGAAGTCGCGTTATCCCACCGGCATATCAGTTGTTACCAATATCAACGAACATATTGACGCGAGAAGAAGAGTTGCGCAATTTCCCGATTACGAGACCAAAAACTTGATCGTCTCTCCAACGTGAACATGCAATCGAACGTTGCCTGCCAATTTGCAACGTTGCTTATTTTATATAGGAGAGTTGCCGAAATCGTACCGGTCTCATATCCCATTGATCGATCGTACCTGATTTTTTAAATGTTTATAACACATAAAAAAGACAATTTGAAAATTTTTTGTTAATACTTCTTATTGCTCATTTATTTTTCACTTTTTTACCGTTAGATTTTTTACTGTTCATATTCAATAATAATGAAAAGATCGGTGAGGTACGATTTCGGTAATTCTTTCCGTCATCTTTGTGGATATAGTGCGGTGGCCAACAGATTTTATAACATTCACTGATATTATAAATTCATAATTTGTATATGATGTGTGTGTAAGTGTGTGCGCGCATTTGTATGCATGCGTGCGTGCGTGGAAGAATCTTAACAGATCATTTGCGGTAAGGACCGCAAAATGACGCAAGATATTACTTCACGTATCGAGGAGAGGAGCGGGAGTAACTTACGTACAGTGAGAAGACAAGTTCTGCTGAGACGCTTGTGTCTCGAAAAAAAGAGGAGAAAAATTAAGAACTAGAAATTTCGTAAACCTTTGGCCACCACGATATCTCCTGAGATCCGAAATTGCGCAAGGCAACCAACGGAAGAACGGAAAAAAGAAAGAGAGAAAATCGTTTTACTTACTGACATCGATTCGTTGATGATACAACATGTATTTAATAACGATGTGTGTACCTTTTGCAAAGGTTGTACTGCATGTCCGTCGTTAAGCGACTTCTGAGCGAAGCGGCTTGCATTTGAATACCTGCGAAATCGAAATCCGTACTCGGGAGACTGTTTGCTTCGCTAGCGATAATCACGTAAAATGTAGCTTAAGATTACAGGGAGCATGCGTGTACAACGCACGGGTTTCTCGTGCGAATCACGAGTTACTCGTATATATGAAGAATGGAAGAAATATTCGCGCACGTCGTTCTCCTGAGATAATCTCGTGCGATGAAGGTACAATGTTGCAGCCGAAGGACGCAGTAATTTTGCCTTCATTTGTTCGACACACGTTCGAACAATGCGCTTTGTAAGTCGATTGGCTTATCTGTTAGCTTTTATTGGTAATTTTATCGGCTTTGTGGCAACGTGTGTGCGACGCAAAAAGATATCCCATAGGAGACGGTGTTGCGAATATTTCTTCCATTCCCTGCACTATAAGACAACCGTAAAAAACGAGTCGACTGAACCGTTCTTCGTTATCCAGACAATCCTCCCGATATCGTCGCTTTCTTCGTATAAAGTTAATCGCTAAATTAGAGAAAGGCAGAAATATAAGCAAAGAGAACGATAAGGAAGGAAGAGTGGAATGAGGAAGATGAGGGAGAGAGCGCGATAAACGCGCTGCAGACGCGTATGTTCGTCAGAAACATACGCGAGATTAACATCCAACGGCACTTCAGCTTTCGAAACCGAAAGAAAAAGCGGCGAAAATCCGCCCGGCAGACACCGCTCGTGCGCGCGTGTGTATGTGTGTTTGTGTAAATATGGCGAAACATTTCGCGTTGAAGGCTAATGGATAAGTTCCGCACAAGTATCCCCCCCCCCTCCCCCCAGTGTTCAATGGTTTCTCCACGAAACGCAATTGCCGCGTTGTAACAATCCACGAAAAATCGGCAACCAGATCCTTCCGATCTTTTGCCCGAGATTTTCGCCACGATGAAACTCCCGCGAAGGGATTCACGCGTTGCCCTTACACTCACACGTGTAACATAGCTCTCGATGGTGAGAATTCATCGAGCTGGAGAAAACGATGCTGCCGATTTGTTATCGATTTACATTAATTGATTCCGATTTGTACACAGACTGGCGCGATGGACTTTGCCACGTAGTACTGCTAGTATTTTCTAAACGTATATATACATATATATTTTTTTTTAGATATCAACGTGAAGTTGTCACAGCGACAGATTACCGCTTTGGCATATCGTTTCCGCGCTTCTTCGAACGATCGATGAATAATAAATCGATAATACGTACGATTAGAAAATGATCTAGTCGCGTGACACGTTAAAGCAGTCGTGCCAGTTTGTGTACGTATTTATATTAAAAAAAAAAAATAGTATAAAGATTCTCCTTCGCGTAAACGAGGACCATCTCCGCGGAGCTCGGTTTTACGTGAAACTGAAAATTTTCACGAAGGACAACTCACTCGTTAAAATTGAAGCGAGGCTATGTGTATGTTCTTGGCTTTTTCGGCGAGTCGCGATTAACGGGATTAATTCGCGTCGTTTTAATATTAATCTCTATTGATTTACCATTGAATTCTGTAAGAACGGAATATCAGGAATCGTCGAGGTAGAGAAACGCGGTGTTTCGTCGCGACGCGAATGCTGCGAGGTTGTGAAAGAACGGGAGAGAATTCCGCTAGTTCTCGTTTCTACTTGAAAGTTTTTGGCGGAACCTCGACGTGTGCAGAGAGATAGACTGTGATCCGCTTTGGGAGAGTCTTTAGTCTTCGAGAGCCGTTTAACTGAGTGAGACTACTACGTTTCGTGTTATCGTACGGTATGTGTGACAATGCGACGTCATGAATAATGAGTAACGAAACGAGTATTAGTCCTAATCTTTCTCGGGATAATTGTACACGGAAGAAATGACGGATGTATCTTATCGAGAAATGTCGTTTTCGTTTGCAGCGATAATTTTTATCTTTAGTGCTGGATTAGCTCGGAGGATACGACCAGGACTATCTGAATACATGTTTTACTCATTATCGACGACGCGTGTGTGCGTGTGCGTGCGCCCGCAGAGATACCAAAAGATATCAGAGGGAATCTTGAGGAATTAAGAGACCTCTCTCGCGACTTAATTCGTCAGGCGTCCCGATAAGGAGCGGAAGGTGCTCGAGGAAAAAATACAATTCTGAACGAATGTCTTCGTTATCCCGAAGTCTCTCGTAATTCTTCGAATTCTAGGGATCTCTTTGGAATTGAACTTTCCAGTGGAGTTTCAAGAGACACCCTCGTCCGTTTCAGGCACCTTTCGCACCTCCAGGAACCTTATTCTCGAAAAATATCGCATACGATATTTCTGTGAAAAGCTATAATTTATGTTACGCATATTTTGTAGCTTTTCATAGAAATATCGTATGCGATATTTTTCGAGAATAAGGCCTCTGCTCGCGTTCGGGCGTGTATATGTGCGTGCGAGAGGAAATCAGAGCGAACGGGAGAGAGAGAGAGAGAGAGAGAGAGAGTGAACGTAACGATTGTGATTAATTATAAGAACGATACGCGCGTGCATGCATGTTACTTAAGTTAAGTGACGGCGCGCTCCGTGCCGTACATTGTAGCTTCTAAGCGAAATAAGTTATTGGTTGACGATGTTATTGCAAAAAAAAAATATATATATATATATGAACAAAAGTGACGTTGTATATATATGAATATATACATATAATACTATATATAGACATAGGTAACGAGCGTTTCAGAAAACGGCCGTGCATACAAGTGGGTGCGGTGAAGCAGCGCGTAACGCCACTGCTGCGGGTGCAAGGGAGATTCGCGCCTACGTATTATATAGGAGAAAATATACATACGTATTATATAGGGGAAAATATACATACGTATTATATATATATATATATATGAATAAAAAAATATATATACATATACACGCCACGTGTCATTATGTGTTCCAAACAGTGCGGAAGGATACAACAAAGGAGCAGAGCGAGGCTTTGATGTGAGCTCTAATTTTGCGCCTCCTTTGGGACAATCGGCGATGCGAGGGACCAAACGACCGTGCGCAATTGTCTGCACCTTTTTTCCTGATCTTTTTTGTCTCTTTTTATTTGTGATTCTTTAGACAATAATCAGACAAGTAACAGTGTTCGCTTCCTTTGGCGATTGCCCGTGTAATTGCCTGCGCGACACGAGCCAGCTCTGAACTCGGTCGCGCCAGTATTTCCCGTCGCTTTACTACACAACATATATGTATATAACTGTACAGTTATATGCATATATATATATATATACAACCCTATGCACCGCTCTCGCCTCTAATTCTACTGCAACTTCGTGGCCACGGCACCGAGGGAGCCAAATCGAGACAGCAAAAACAGAGGCAATCATTCGTGCACGTTTTCTTCTTCTTCATCTTTCGCGTTAAATTAATATACAGCAATAGTAGTAGTAATAATAATAATAATAATGACAACAGTAATCATAGCGATGATAAAAATAATAACAATAATATTCGTGATGTTGCTAATAATTACAACAGTCGGCGGATAATAAAACTGCGATGCGTGATACGCGACGATGATCGGTATTATGGCGGTAAGTAATTGTCTGTTACTCGAGTCAGGTATATAGACGCGGATAGTTGCGTTTCGTTCGTTCGTTTCTTTTTCCTTTATCTCAAGCGTCATCTTCCTTGTCATTACATCTCCGACTTACCCGTTGTCAAACGGCATCTTTTCGCGCAACTCTTGTCCAACTCTTATTCTTTAATTTATCACACTTTCAAACGTACGTGATTTATTCGTTTCTATTGCATCAGCTAATCACGCCAGAATAGAAGAGACGCTTTTTCTTTCTCTTTCTCTTTCACGTGGAGCGCGATCGCGCCGATCGCGGCTGTCGATTGTATTTTAATGCGTATTTCTTTATAATTAATATATCATATAATATGTGTGCTCTTTTCCTTTTGCATAAGTCGATCCAGTTCCAATTGAATGCATCATACGCAATCTGCATCAAATTATACATTAGACAATTTTTTCTGGAAATATATGATATATTAATTATGATTATTTATGTTTATCCTAATATCATACCAACATTGCGGCCACGGGATTCGGTCAACTGTCGCATTGTCATTTTAGTATCTCGCTCAAAGAAGTGTGTCTCTTGTGAGTGTGTGTGTATGCGTTATGTGTAATTCATGTGCATGCATCGAGGACACATTTGACGTTCGCTAACGCCTCGTTTCTTTTCGTTTTGGCACTTGCAGTTAAATCGCTGAGATCCATGGGGGACGCGTAGAGAGAAGAACGGCGTGCGCTAAAACAGCCGTAACTTCAAAAGTTATGCGGAAAATCGCACGAAAATCGGTTAAGTGTACTCAAGTAAATCGAAAGGGCTGCGACTGTAACAAAATAAAAGTATAAAAACCTCGAAAAGGAATAAAAATCGCCCATGTACCCGACTCATGTACAGGCCGCGCGGTAAGATCGCATGGTATGTAGAAAGGAAACAGGATTACTTGCAAAAAAACTTACGTGAAAGTGTCATGACGTCGGAACCGGATTTCCAGAACGAAGATACGTACGTAAAAAGAGTCTCTAGGATCCATAAATTTATTTCTGAAGGTTAATATAATTGGTGGACGTTAGGAGAGTGTACAGAAGTATTAATTTGTGACAGGTTAACTCTGCATCTCTGTACACTCTCCTAACATCCAACCATGATATTGGCTGCGTTCAGCAGAGAAAGCTGCTTTGCAACTGTTGTAAAATTCGTGAATTTGATTGGTACATGCCCTTGGATTTAACCAAAATTAAGAGCATACTCCAATTAGATTCACGAATTTTACAACCGTTGCAAAGCAGCTTTCTCTGCTGAACGCAGCCAATAACTTTCAGAAATGAATTTATGGATCCTACAGGACTCTTGAACGTTGCACCAACATTATCCCCACTCTTTTTATGGATTTTATTCGCTTACTCCGGGAACTCCATACTTGAATTTCTAGGTCACGCGTCAGAGATGCATCGCGACCAATCGATGGTTCGATCGATCGATCAATAGTTTCGATTCAAGCCGCGATCGATAGGTAGCGCGCTCGTTCGACGACTTTCCATTATGGCGTCCCCTCCCGAGTTGTGTAACGGATTCTGAGCGGGAAAACGCGAGTTTTTCGCGAAAAACGCAGGAATCTCATGCACCACGGTGAGTATGTGTGAGTGTGAGTGTGTCTGGTGTATGTGCGTGACACACACTTAGCCTCGTTAGATCTACGTGAGAAAAACACCGAAAGCGTTAGATCAACGCGTGACTTAGTTCTCACGCGCTTTCCTACCTTAGATTTCCCATTTCTTCCTTCATCTTCCCTGTTTCTCTTTCCCGCAGGAGCGAGAAACGGCCGTTCGCCGCGTTCACGGGACCAGCGATCGTCGATTAACATCGTAAGTAGAATTTTATAGTAAAAATTACTATATATATAGAGCTTTGTAACCGTAGAATAGATTCTGCTGTTTTCTTTCATTTCATATTCTACTTATATATTTTAGGAACTTAAATGTACTATTAAAATGTATGTTTGCTATGTTCCCAATGAAATTTACAATATTCCTTAGAGCGTACTGGCAGTCTATTTCCTGAATTACTAAAAAAAAGACAACAAAATTGTAAACAATTTATACGAAAAAAAAACTACACATTTTTTCCGTGCAAAAGCACCAATGTCCGGACCTAACCTTAGACATCGTGATTTGATTAAATACAAATATTTTAACTGTCAACATAGCATACGTGTAAATATTCAATACACATATATATTTTTTTTCATGTTGAAAATTTGAATATTTGAATATTTAGAAATAAAAAAAATGTCCAAAATTAGGTACGTGTCCGGGCACTTTAATTCCCTTCGTAATCGCGGCTTTGCCTCGAGACTGGGTGGTCGATGATGGGAATCACGCTCCACAAACACGATGTTTCCCCCACGAACTTTCGTCATTCACAGAAACATCCGAGAGACACGCGGATCGCCAGTCCGTGACGCTGCACGAATCGAATACGCAACAAATCATATATTATATATGTATGTGTATATATATATATATATATGTATATATATACAAAGTCCGCCAACAAAAACGTTCTACCCCGCTTACCTGACTCTTATTGCTAAGATTTTTTTGGGGTAGCTATTTTAATTAAGGGAATGAGAAGTGATATAGTCAAATTTGTCACAATCATACAGTCCCCTTGAAAACAATGTTGACGTGTATCGACATTTTTGACAACAATCAATTGGTGATACAGAATAATCGGGGTGGAAAGTATTCGTTGACAGATCCTGTGTATATATATATACACATATAACTATGATATACAGCCGCGTATATCCTCCGGGCGAAGCGATGAATGAAGCCGCGGGGAGGTGCGAGACACCATTATTAGAATTTCCATGAGATTGTGAACATTATTTGGTCGTGAGTCACACCGGAGGAAAGACGCACGGCCGTTCAGCACCAGATAATAACACTTGATAATCTAGCATTGATATTTACTATGATTAACGAGATATAAATACAGTCAAGAAATAAATAATGCTTATTCTCTTCTTTCTCTTTATATAACGTTCGCTAATACATCTCTAACGCGGCGCGGGTGCAGGACGGGTCTGGTTTTGGCAACAGACCGGCGTACAACGAACAGGATTACCTCCCCTAGAAATGCATGAAGGATCGCCGCGTACCCAAAATAATGTGACGTTATTATCTTCAGCAGGAGATCTTCTTATCCATGGCCTCAAGAGAAGTCTCTTCTAAAAAGCCGAGACATTATATTCCCGAAAAAGCCGAAACACTATATTCCCGAAATCAGAGGAATTTCATTTTTTATTTTACAGTACAAATCTTGTTCTGAAAAGAGAATTTCCTCTAATAAGAGGGCATTCTGTTTCAAATAAGTATACACTGCGAAAAAGTACTTGGAAATTTTACTTTATTTCACAGAAATAAACGTTATATCCCACAGACAAATTTTCAAGCACATTTTTTTCTCAGTGCATTCCTCTTGATACGAAAGGAGTAAAGTTATAAGTATCTAGTAGATTTCCGATTAATAGCTCATCTCATTTGTGAAAAGGAATACTATTTCGTTTTCGTTTAAAATGGGGTGGGATTATAAAAAATTGCAACTGAAATCCCTTTTTCGGATGATGGAATATTTCCATTTTGGCTCTGGGAAGAACCTTTTGAGACCATGTATAGACCGAGGATTCCGCTAAGAATAAGATTATTTTCTTCTTTTTTTGGAACAATCAATAACAGATTAATTAGGGCTCGCTGATGAAGCTCTTTCGAGAAGAGACGACCGGTCCTGCACGCGCGTTTCTTCTTTCTCTCGTTTTCTCTCTCTCTCTCTCTCTCTCTCTCTATATATATATATATATATATATATATATATATATATATATATAT